AATACTGGGAGGGCTACTGGTGGTAAAGGGTTAGAGGTATACTGGGCGAGCTACTGGTGGTAAAGGGCTAGAGGTATACTGGGCGAGCTACTGATGGTAAAGGGTTAGAGGTATACTGGGTGAGCTACTGGTGGTAAAGGGTTAGAGGTATACTGGGTGAGCTACTGGTGGTAAAGGGTTAGAGGTATACTGGGTGAGCTACTGGTGGTAAAGGGCTAGAGGTATACTGGGCGAGCTACTGGTGGTTAAGGGCTAGAGGTATACTGGGGGCGTTTCTAGTGGTATATACTCCATGTAACAGACAATTTCAAGGTGACGGACTTAAACAACTGAACATTTTCAGGAACCTCTAGTTCCCGTGAAGCACTTACTCAGGTATCCGTTCATATAATTAATCATGGTGGCGGCGTCTCGGGAGATGGCCATCATGTCGTATATGGCGTGTGAGATCTGTTCAAAAGCCATGGCACTCTTGCTGTCAGTTATAGTTCCTACAAATATTCAATATGTTAATACACACCAACTGTCGTATTAATAAATGTACGTAAATTTTGTATATTATGAACCAAATCCACATATGAGAAATAATCTATTTTAAACTTACACTAATGAATGTAGGTAAATTTCGTGTAGCATGAAGCAAATTCACATCGACGAAGTAATATATTAGTAATACTTGTACGAGTATTTAAAATTGATCGCTAATAGTTTAACTGTACTATAAAAGCAGGAAGATTAAAACAACGTACATATGTCGTACAAGTTTAAAGTACAATGTAGGACATTGCATAGTCATTACCATTAAGAGGGACAGCAGTTGCCACGTCGTTTGCCAACGCTTCGATCTTTCCGTGGATGCAGGCCCTATCCTGATCCAAGGCTGCCGCGACTGCTGATGCTTCGGCTTCCTCCTAAAATGGCATAATTAACATACAAGTCTTTCGGACCGTCTAACGTCCATCCACAGGATTCAAACTTAATCTGGATAGAATAATCTGACTTTTGCTGGCCTGTTCATCTTAGATTTGGGGTGCATTCCCAGAGACTTAGATCAATCCAGAGATTTAGATTTAGATCGACCTAACTCCCTGCTAAAAGCTATAGGGGGTTCTCGCTAAATTGCAGTCAGCCGAGCGCGAACCATAGTTAATTACCCCCCCCCCCCCCCATAGCTTTTAGTAGGCGGACAGACGCTTAAGCCGGCTAAGCTGACAGTAATCTAGTGAGACTCCCCACAGGGATAGATCGATCTAAAATCTATAGGAATGGGGTATTGGTTTCCATCCCTAGATCGGTCTAACAGGATCGGTCCATCTCTACGGGGTCCCTCGCTAAATTGCTTTCATCCCAAGCGGCTTAGACGGCTGAGACGCCCAACAAAGCTGCTAAACGATAGTTAATTACCCCTTATCAGCCTCAGCATTCATGACAGACATATGAGCCGCCCAAGTTAGCTTCAATTAAGCGAGAATCCTCTCGGAGATAGTTCGATCCAAAGTTAGTACGATAGGGTCTGGGAATGGTCTCTTATACTACAACTTGTACAATGTCCCACACCCAAGAACTGTCCTCTTACCAGAAGAGTTCAAAGAAAACATTGTAAAACTTACACTAATTTCCAAGGTCGGATTAGCCTTATGTTGCTCTATCATATAGTCAAGGGTGTTCCCAAGGTTTCTACACGCATCGACGTTGCCTGCCATTCCTAAAATTTACAGTTATCAAAATTGTTCGCAAAAGAAAATAATTTAAAAATAGTTTGAAAATAATTTTATTCATTTCTTTATTTAATTTATTAATTTATTTAATTATAGTAAGACACCGAGAGAGAGAGAGAGAGGGAGGGAGGGAAGGAGAGAGATAGAATATGCTGTGGTAAACAAAAGCATATGCCATGTACATATATTCAGCAGAACAAACTCCCCTGTGCCTCTTCTTTCAAGATATACCCACGGGGGTGAGGGGGGGGGGAGGGGGTCGTATGCACTCACAGGCCTCGGTGATGAAGAGGGAAGTTTAGACTTGAGGTGGGCAGAGAGAGAGCTACATGTAAGCCCCGTCGCGTCTACGCCGCGACGATTAATTTAGGTGGCATTCACAACGAGTTGAGCCAGGCTTTACAAATCCTGGGGACTAAATATGGCGGATGTACATGAAAGAAAAACTGCCTAATCTTTTAATAGTCTCTCCACCTCTCACACGCCTCCTCAGGTGTGGTCCCAATGGAGCCGAGATTTAATGACTGTACCCCTGCAGGGACGACGCGTGGGGAGGCGTGTGAGAGGCGGAGAGACTATTAAAAGATTAGGCGGTTTTTCTTTCATGTACGTCCGCCATATTTAGTCCCCAGGATTTGTAAAGCCTGGCTCAACTCGTTGTGAATGCGATCTTAGAGGCCATTCAGAATAGAAGATCTGTGTATCAACTGGTCCAAGGCTCTAATATGGCGGACCCTACATGAAAGGAAGACCGCTTAATCTTGTAATGGTCTATTCGTCTCCCCACGCGTCTGGTCGAATGGAGTCGAGATTTAATTACTGTGCCCCTGCAGGGACGTCGCGTGGGGAGGCGTGTGAAAGGCGGAGAGACCATTACAGGGTTAAGCGGCATTCCTTTCATGTAGGGTCTGTCATATTTGAACCTTGGGCCAGTTGATATTTAGATCTTCTATTCTAAATGGCCCCTTAGGCTCGATCTATTCCCATAGATTTTAGATCGATCTATCCCCGCGGGGAGTCTCACTAGATTACTGTCAGATAATTCGGCTTAAATATCCGTCCCGCCTATTACAAGCTGTAAGGAGGTAATTAACTTTCGTGTCCGCCCGGCTGACAGCTATTTAGCGTGAACCCCCAGGGAGTTAGGTCGATCTAAAGTAGGTCGATCTAATCTATGGAAATGGGGTGTTAGATTCAGATCAGGCTTACCCGCCCATAACATCCGGCTGAATGCGTGCATCAGCGTGTACATCATCATACCGCCATGGGGAGCCATCGCCTCGAAGTCAGCTTTCAATTTCAGCATGTGCCAGACAAGTGCAGTCCCTAGAATAAAAACCCACATGTTGGCAGCGAGTTTCAACTTGAAAAGGATGACAGCTGTTCCTATGAGAGTCTTAATTCTCAATAAATACATTATAAACTCATAGAAATATAACAAATCCCATTTTACCACCTGGAATGCGTTCTTTCCATCAGACCACGTGGACCTTACACATGTCGCTGGCTATACTCAGTACCTCCGTAATAATTACTATAGAGATTTTTTAAACAAGCTTTTTAGAAAAAACTAAATCTGAATGTAGAAATGGATTCATTTAACAATGGTAAGTATTGGAAATCGCCGTTTACCACAGAGAAATCCGTTTTTCGGTTTATTATTATTATTATTATTATTATTATTATTATTATTATAATATAAAGTGCAAAATAAACATGGGGTCAGTTACATGATAATGAAATAACTGTCTCATTTTGTACTCACTGGTTGTGGAACTGGCTACGTCATTCGAGTCCTGCACTATTTGTTCAAAGGCTGCTTTAGTACCATTGAGGAAGCTTTGAACATCTGCCTTGCCTTTGTTGTATTCACCGGCAGAAAGGGCTGTAAAGAAAAAAATCTAATTACCGGGTCATAGGCTGAGGATATATATATATATATATATATATATATATATATATATATATATATATATATATATATATATGACCCGGTAATTAGATATATATCCTCAGCCTATGGATTTTACCGCCAGGGGCTCTCATCAGGACGCTTTTAAAAGAAAAAATTAAGAGACTAATGGTTTGGAAAAAAAGAAAAGACACCTTATGAAGATCCTTCTTTTTTCAAATACCTAGGGGGATGTAGCCCCCCCCCCCCCCCCCCCCCCCCCCCCCTCCCCCCCCCCCCCC